CTCTCTTTATCCTCTGACATGGGAGTTGGCTCGGAGCTGCTTTTTGCATCTCTGCTTCTGTCTCCTTGTACCCCAGTCGGCCTCGGCAGATGGCCGCTCACACTGAGCCTGGTTCTGCTGGAGGTTTCTTCATGTTAAAAGGGAGTTTTCTCTCCACTGTCGCTACGAGCATGCTTATTGTGAGGGATTGCATTCGAGTCAATGAGTCGATGCAATCAACTGGTTTTCCTTAGATAGAAAACATTGAATCAATCTGGCTGTATGATCTGGTGAACTGTAAAGTGCCTTGAGATGACATGTGTTGTGAATTGGTGCTATATAAATAAAATGAATTGAATAAAAGGCTGTGTTACATTTAGTCCTTTACTATAAAAAACGCACTTGCATAATAAAAACATATGATTGTAGGGCTGCAGCTAATGATCATTTTTCAAATTGATTAATCTGTCGATTATTTTTTCGATAAATCGATTAATAATCAGATAGCCAAAGGTTCCTTAAAGAAGATCTTTTACTAAATGAAACAAGGTGAAACAGAAACTTTTCCTCTTGAGGAGTTCTTGATAGAGAATATTGAAAGACAAAAACTTTTTTTTTATATCTCAAATAAAAAAATGTTTACATATTTTTTACAATTATGTTAAAATTCCTGCTCTGAGTGTGTTGCTCTGTCGGCTAAAGTCACATTTTAGTGGCCCTATACTCCAGTTAATGATTAATCAATTACTAAATTAGTTGATGATTATTTAAATAATCGATCAATATGATTAATTGTGAAGCTGAGTGGGAGCACTCAGCTTCACTCACAAAGATGTGTTTTCTTTTACTTAAATTTAGTCTAAATGTGTTTTATTATTTACATCCCGGAACTTTAAACATTTTTTGTGTCAACTAGGGCCGCAACTGAAGATTATTTTGCAAATCAATTAATTTGTCGATTATTTTTTCAATTAATCAATTAATAATCTGATAGCGAAGGGTTCCTTAAAGAATATTTTTTATTAAATTAAACCAAGTGAATTTCAAACTTTTCCACTTGAGGAATTATGGGTATATTTCTAGCATGTAGCATATTCACAGATGATTTTTTTACTCCTAAATGCAAAATGTTTATACATTTTTTTTCAATCTTGGTATAATTACTAGTGTTGCACCGATACCAGTATCAGGTAGGGCTCCGATCCATCAGTAATATGGTGATATCAGTATCAGCAAGTACCAACAAATAGGTCACCGATACCATTTTAGGGGAGACACAGCTTTTATTTTATTATTACAAATATGTTAAAAGTGTGGCATGCATTTGAATGAAACCTCCTCTAAACCAATACTTTATAGAAGCAACATTTTTAGTGCATTTTCCCCCCAGCTTCACATCTCAGGACTAACATCCTTTGCTATATATTCTTTGCAGAAGCTAAAGTTCCGTTAGCTTGGAAGGAGGATAGCTTTTATGTCTTGTCAGTGGTTCAGAATCAGGCATCAGTCTAAAGTTTGCTTTGGCCAATCCAAGCATGAATATGTTTTGATCTAAACCACTCCTGTAGCTCTGTCTGTGTTACTGGGGTTTCTGTTCTGAAAGAGGAACCTTTGTTTCAATCTGCCTTTAACAGGTTTCCTTCCTCTATTCATCCATCCATCTTCCCCTCAACTCTGGCCAGGTTTCTTGTGTCTGCTAAAGAAAAGGATCCCCACACCATGATGATGTCACCCCCATGTTTCACCATGGAGTATTCAGCATTATATACATACACATACATACAAATCTAAATATCACTCATGAGCTTTATTATGGTCTCAGTAATATCATCTCCTCCATGTATTTGCTTTATTTTTCTTCAAACAACTGCTTCCTCTTTTCAACTCTTCCATAGGGTCCAGCTTTGCAGAGCGCACGGTTGTTCATTTACAGGTGAAAGTCTGTAATAGTATTCTTAGGCTTACATTTAGTTAGCTGCTAATTTGCTGTGCTTTGAATTGACCAAAAGTAAAAAAGGTTAAAGGGTTGGAAAAACTTTTGCACAGTATATTAGCCTCTGCTGCTTTACCTGTATGGGTTCCAGTCCTAATGTATTGGAGTACTGATAAATTATTTCTTCTTTACATGGTAGATTTGATAATATTCCCATAAGAAATCTGCACAGTTAGGTGTTACCAAAATGTCTCCTCTTAGGGTAGTAAAGGAGAAAGAATGCAAACGTTTATCACTGTGACATTTCTTAACCGCCGCCCCTGTAATCAGTCTACCAGGCTTTTGGATGAGACTGAGCCAAATCATTGCATATCTCCTGCAGCTGGGACCCTTGAAAACTGTGTTTTTAATTCAGAATTTTAATATTACTCAAGCTGTAGGAGGAGGGGGAAAAAAACACCGCCATCTTGCCTGCTGAGGTCACTGCTCCTTTACCACAATGTGCTCTAACTCCTGTATTATAAATATTTGAACAAAATTTAAAATGGTTTCTACTGAAATACAAACAAATTGTAGGGGGGAAAAAATGCTGCTAAAGGTTCTAATCTGTTTTTTTTTTTAACCTTCTCAGACATTTTGCTCTTCTCATCGTCAAGTTCTGACAAAATGTAAGTTTTTTTCAAATGTCCATAGGATAAGACAAAAATATTTATAGAGGACTCAAACAATTCACATGCAGTATTAGCTAAAAATAATCTATAAACACAACAATAGTACAAAGGCAATTCATTAAAAACAAAAAAGCATCCTTATTTAATTTGAGGAACTCCTGATGACAATAGGATGGTTGTAGCTGATTACTGCCTGTTCTGCTGCTGCTATTAAATGGAGAGTTGAATAAAAAACCTTTGACATAGAGGGAGGCTGATAAATGAATGCCTTTTGTTGCATATTGTTGTTTAATGTACAGAGTTAAACTGCAAAAGGAACTAATGTGTTCCAAAGACATTGAGTCATATTATCTGGAACAGAACAAAAAAAAACAAAAAACAGATATTTTATCATTTTATTTCCATGACTATAACAGTAATGTGTGAAAATCTCCTCACATATTGATGCACATTAACCACTAGATGTCACATGTGCACATAATATTAGTGAATTAACTGAGAAAACCCCAAACACTGACTATATAAATAATTATTTATTCCCTCTCTATTCCCTCCTTGCATTTAAGGCTGCTTCTTTAAAGAATGAGATTTAACATACATAAACAATTTTATTCTTTAATAACTGCAGTCAAAATATCTGGATTATATAGCAGAGCGCTCCATCATCCACTGCCTATACCTGCTTTTCCTCACAATGTCAACGGAAGTAAATTAAAGTAAAGAGGTTGAAAAGAAGCAAGCATTAATCAAGAAGAAAATCTCTCTGGGTCACCAGTTTTACTACCCCTGCTGCCGGACCCTCAGAGTCTTCACCACTATAAACCAAAATAAACCATCAAGGTTTATTTTGTTGTTCTAAAGATGTTCATCGTCAATGTTTCTATGCAAGATAAGCATTTTTTGGAACATGCAATGTCTGTTTTCCTTTGTGTTGTGAGGTCACAACAATAATAAGGCTCGGAAAGAGCAAGAACTTGGAGGGAGAATGTAAGAGAATCCTGTGCTTTAGGTATTACTGAGCTCCTAACAGAAAAAGCCGGAGCATGCAGCGGGGAGACAGATGGATGGCTTTCCCTATCAAAGCTGTAATCCCAGTGACTGAATGTTTGGTGAATAAAAGACAAAGAATGGATGGTTGGATAACACACAAGTGTTGAGGAAAACAATGTGCACTGTGCTGATGAGTCTTTATTTGAGTCTCTTTCTCCTTGCAATATGATACATTCCTATTGCTGCTGCACTTAATGTTGCGTATTTATCTTATTATATCGTGATCTCATCATATTTGCATGAGCTGTATGCAACTAAATTGTGTTCTGTATAAACCCTGTGCAAACAAAATTCCATTGAAGTAAATTTACTAAGTGTTTGTTTATACCAACAGTAACATTTATAGGGAAATACGGGACTGTTTGTTTGTTTTTGTACTAAAAACGAGTAGTTGAAATATAATGTATTTCTTAAATATCTACAAACAAAGGTGGAAATCCAGACCTGTCTGCATATCTAAGCAACAAGTGATCAAAAACAAGTTGCTTTCATACTTTGACCACAAGGTGGTGCTAAAACTTCACCATGGACAGTCCCTAAGCTACTCTCTCACTGCTGAAGATAAACACTAAAGAGAAGGCTGTCTAACAGAGGAAACCTATTGCTTGCCCTTTCTCACTTTTGATTATAAACGATGTAGTTGGATAACATCAATCAAGATGTTTTCCAAGTCATCATTCAACTTACTGTAAAATACATATTACTTGGTATTTTATAGATCAACCAAAAAAAAACCTTGATGTCATTAACTAATTTGATTTAAATTGGACCTGCATCTTAATAAAACCAAAATAAAACAGTTGACAAAAACAGTTTAGTGCATTGCATAAGAGATCTGCACGATAGTGTAGCCTATGGAGTTAGTAAACTCATAAAGCTAAATATGTTTCAGTTAAGTTTTAAGTCATACTCTAAAATAAGAGAAACAAACAAAAGTTTAGAAATTGCAACAACATATATTCTACCATCATAAGGCTCTTTATTTTTTTACTTGTTTGTTTTATTTGCTTGCTTTTTTTTCATCAGGGGTAATTTTATATTTTATTTTTTTAGTTTACCCACAAAAAAAAAATCAATGAAATGGAGAAGGGGTCGAAATGAAAATTTTTAAAAATAAAAACAAACAAACAAAACAAAGCAGTTTAATTTTAGAATTAATTTCATGAATGAAAATAATCCTTCAACTGTAACGCTAACTTAAAAAAAACGTCAGTTGCTCAAGTTAAACTACCTTAATACAAAAACAATCAGGCGACTTTAAAAACTCTAAACTTAGGGGGCTCGGTCCAAAGTTTTGTGTGACGTAACGCTCATTGATTGGCCGCCACTGATTATGGTAACTGATGGGCGGGCTCCAGGAAAAGAGTAGTTGACGTCAGTTCGGCCGTTGGCAGCCAGTGAAACAAACATGGCGACAGATTCAAGTGGACTGGGCTTTCCTCTGACTTTATTTGTGTTTTTTTGCGTGTTGGCGGCCAGGGAGACCGAGGCAGCGGTCCCGGAGTCACGGGGCGTAACTCGGATAATCGGCATGCGGCTCGAGAAGAGCAACAGGCCGGCCGAGACCACCGAGACGGGAGTTATTCAGGTGACCGAGGGCAGCGAGATCTTCATCAGGTTCTACGGACTCTACCTGTTTCCCAACAGCTCGGAACTCATCAGATTCGCCGAACTTTACGACAACGTTGGAGAGGACGATCAGTTTGGCGCACGTGACGTTCAGTTAAACAGGACTTGTCCGGAACACTCCAAGGATGTTTTAGTGAATGGGCCCATGCAGGTAAGCAACCAGAACACCGCCGGACTTGTCAACCTCACCATCAAGCAGCTTCGGAAAAGTGAAATGTCCAAAGTGTTCGGGCTGTGCGTCCTCCAACCCCAGGAGCAGAAGTGGATCCTGCTGGATGATAATGACGGCAGGCTGCGGGTGGTGGAGGAGGAGAAGTCCCTGCTGCCTATTTGGCTGCAGGTGATCCTCATCTGCTGCCTGTTGGTGCTGTCCGGCATGTTCAGCGGGCTCAACTTGGGGCTGATGGCGCTGGACCCCATGGAGCTCCGCATCGTGCAGAGCTGCGGCACCGAGAAGGAGAAGAAATACGCCCGAAAGATCGAACCCATCCGCAGGAAGGGGAACTACCTGCTCTGCTCGCTGTTGCTCGGCAACGTCCTGGTCAACACCACCCTCACCATCCTCCTGGATGACCTCACTAAATCCGGACTCGGGGCCGTGGTGGCTTCCACCGTGGGCATCGTGATCTTTGGGGAGATCGTCCCCCAGGCGCTGTGCTCCCGGCACGGCCTGGCAGTGGGTGCCAACACCATCATGCTCACCAAGCTCTTCATGCTGCTCACCTTCCCTCTCTCCTGGCCCATCAGCAAGCTGCTAGACTGCGTGCTGGGGCAGGAGATCGGAACCGTCTACAACCGGGAGAAGCTGGTGGAAATGCTGAAAGTGACCGAACCCTACAACGACCTGGTGAAAGAGGAGCTCAACATGATCCAAGGGGCGCTGGAGCTCAGGACCAAAACGGTGGAGGACGTGATGACGCCTGTGAGCAACTGCTTCATGATCAGCAGTGATGCTGTGCTCGACTTCAACACCATGTCAGAGATCATGGAGAGCGGCTACACCCGGATCCCTGTGTATGAGGACGAGCGGTCCAACATAGTGGACATCCTCTTCGTCAAGGACCTGGCCTTTGTGGATCCAGACGACTGCACCACCCTGAAGACCATCACCAAGTTCTACAACCACCCAGTCCACTTTGTCTTCCATGATACCAAGCTGGATGCCATGCTGGAGGAGTTTAAGAAAGGTTTGTGGAAATCTTTTTCTCTGATGGTGTTCTGGAAATAAGTATGCCATGGAAACACTTTCTGATCTGTCATAAAACTATAACCTCTGACACATATACACCAATTATATCCTCAGGTTTGGCATCTGTCAACCCTTTATAGGGCAAATAACCGTTTTTGATCACAGGACAAACCTCCCTTGGTGAGGTCTAGAAGCAGAAGATCTATATCCAGCCATTCAGTAAAGATCCTGCTGCATGTCTGCACATCTTATTTTGGCATTTGACCAATTAGATGAGCCCTTTAATGATATATTACCTACTGTAAATTAAGTTAAAAAAAAGTTAACAAGTCAAGAAAAAAGGGTAAAAAGCTAATTTGAAAAGTTAAAAAGTAAACATAAAAAGTTAATAAGCCTAGATAACAATTATATTTACGCTTATAAACTAAAAAGTGCCAGTATCAGCATTATTGCCTCTAAGGTTGTTAAATGTGTTGCTTTCACTCTCAGAGGGGATTTTTTTTAGGCATTTCTTTCTTTCTTTCTTCCAATAATACTATTGGCTTGAAATTTTGATTTTCAAAGCATTTGACTGAGTGCCATATAAAGGGTTAAAGCAGAGCTGCACCAATCAGTCACCCAAACATAAAAACTGCTAAATATTCTCCTCTGATTGGAGGTTAGGTGTGGAAATATATATATATTTCTATTTCAAGAAGTGGATCTAAACTGAAATGCTGATATTTTTAGTCTTTTAATGTCAGTCAACAACATTCAGATTCATAATTTCTCAGTTTTATAAAGAATGGTGATGCAAAGATGGGAAACTTTGTGTTATTTTTCTTTTTTTTTTTTGCCTTAGTCTTGATGAAATAGTTCCATAGGAAAAGACTGATCTGTGCGTCTCTTAACCTAAAAGAACAACAGCAGAGAACCAGCAGTGAGGTTATGGTTTATTGATGCATGAGGGGAACAAAGGTCCAATAGATTAGCTACAGCAGCCCAAACTACTAGAAACATTAGTGCTGCTTCTGATAGAAAATGTAAAAAAAAAAAAACACTACAAAGCACAAAGGTAACCATACCAGTCATACTGTTATGCCTGATAGGTGCTGCATTTTTAATAATGCTTATGGGTTTTTTTCTCCCTAAACTGTTGCATTTCATTTCAAGTTTATACTTATTCTACTCTAATATTTTACCCAGACCTTACCCAGATTTTGATATTTTGAAAGTGTTGAAAAATTGTTGAAAGGATGTATTTTTGGGTTACCTTGGAATGCTAGTTCAAAACAAACAGATGAAAGAACAAATCCTGTGGGGCAGTTTAATAAACATGTTAGCCAGAAACCAGAGATAAAACAGAGAGGGACAGATTGTGTTATTGATTATCTGTTATTACCAACTAGATCTTTGAAAATCACTATACTGGAATATGCTGATGAAGGTTCTCAGTCATCCAGGTCATAGTCATCACAGAGGAACGAGGGACCCACCCACTCCAGCCGGTGAACAATATCTCCTTAACGACCGACTCTTAACAATCATAGACAGATTTTAGGTATTACAGGAGACAATCCCCCCTTAAC